AGAGAGAGAGAGAGAGAGAGAGAGAGAGAGAGAGAGAGAGAGAGAATGGGAGAGATAAACAGCAATGTATTTACCCAAATAAGCATTTTTAAATGTGCACTGTAATATAGGGTAGTCATGAATGCCTGACCTAAGGTTCCCTCCCCCGGTAAGTGCAATGAACATAAAATAGAGAATACAAAAATTATTGCTGGTCTAAATAATAATTTTACAAAGCTTGTCCTTTAAATGTCAAATGAAAAGCTACTTTCATATTTACAAAGTCTCTTGCTGGGAACAATGCCAGAGAAAACATGTTGTAAATGACGTAAAATTCCCAAACTAAACAATGAAAACAGATTGTCCCACCTTTGGCGCCCTGTACTGAGCATCAGAGTTAAGTCTGAGCAGTGTGAGAGTGCTCAGACTTGACAAGTTTCTCTACGACATTTGGCTGAGGTAAGAATCGTCCTTTGATCTGATCGTGAAGCCATTGTTCTACTGTAGGATTGGTGATGCTGTCCCATTTCCAGTGACGATGAAAGGGGATGTGGGCGAGGGTTTTAGAATCCCTGGTACAAGGGCAATAGAGTCAGTGTTGGTACTTTAGGTTTTTAATCTCTCGTGTGTTCTGTTTACTAAATGAAGGTGCCGTGAGGAGGCAGGGCAGGAATCCCCACTCAGACAGGTATTTACCCAAACTCAGTAGGTATTTACCCCACTCAGTTGTGGGGAAAATTTTAAAAAGGCCGCCACAGCAGCGCAAGCCCGCCGCCGTGGCGGGTCCCCACATCAGGGAGGGAGATCCTACGGTTCCAGCGGCCTGAGGGCCTTGGCGACAGCGGGCCCCAGTAACACGAGGAAGTCCTTGGTTCCAAAAAGGTTTATTGACATGACGGATAATAGATGGATCTAGGCGTACCCCCCCAAAACTCAGGGCCGTCCCGAGTTATATAGGGAGGGAGAAAGGGGGAGGATTAGGGGAGGATCTGGGGGAGGAATGTTTAATTTGCTCTGCCCTCTGGCCTTCATTAGTATGTAAATCTCTAGGGCCTGAGGCCTATATGTGACTCAATGGAAATGTGACTGTTTTCAGGATCCTAGATAATGGGAAGGACCAAACTCCTGCAGGTTCTCACGCAGAATTCCACGGAGAATCTCGGGGTTCTAAGTACCTGCTCAACCATGACCCATGATACCCTTATACAGTCCCACACTCAGTTAGTTATTTACCCAAAGACTGTGAAGGACACAAAGGAAACATTCAAAATTCTCAGCCAACTTTGGATGTTTTATTTATATGGTCAAGCCAGGCCTGGTGGTGCACACCTTTATCCCAGCACTCAAGGGGCAAAGACGGGCTGATCTCTGAGTTCGAGGCCAGCCTGGACTACAGAGTGAGTTTCAAGACAATCAGGGATATACAGAGAAACCCTGTCTTGAAAAAACTAAAAAGAAGAAAAAAAAGACTATATGAGATGACACGGTAAGATTAACAGCTAAGTGGAAGTTTAAAGGGGGTCTTATAGCATTTTGTGTTTACTCTGTTTGCACACATGCATATGAGTGTGTTTATTCATGTGTGCATGTGCATGCGGGTGCACGTCATCACGCATGTGTAGAGGTTAGATGACATCCTTCCACCCTGAGTCAGTTGGTCTTTGTTCTTCTCTGCTTCGTATACCAGGTTAACTGGCCCTCAAACTACCAGAGATTCTCCTGTCTCCACCACCTGCCCCATTGAGGAACACTGCTATTATAGACAAGTCCCCCTGCCCCTGACTTTACCTGGGAACTAGAGATTCATATCCTCACCCTTGCTGCTCCTACAGATTCCTCTCTCCAGCCATTCAAAGGCACATACGTGTGTATACATCTGAGAAGCGTATAGAAAACGAGTATGTTTGCTGAGGGCTACAAGGGTGTAGGCTGCCCACTGGTTAAGTACTCATTCCAGTGTAACTGTCCTGTTGCATCTCCAGAGTCTCCAGAGCATGGCTTGGCCTGGCCAGTGTGAACCAGGGTTGTCAGTTTTAGGCTTCATCCTTCTCTAGCTCAGTTAGTAGGTAACTGTGTTCTGATTTGCCACCACTTAGTGCACGGTCACTCAAACCGAGAAGAGAAACTGGATATCTCAAAGGAACAAAATTCCTTCACACAAAACTGAAGGCGTTTTTAATCTGGCCATAGTGTGACTTCTTTTCCTCTTGGTAATTTATAATACTTGGCTTGCTATGCCAGCCAAACTATCTACTGCATTTATCCCAAAGACAAACAAGGTTTTTCAATTACTTTGTAAGAATTCCCCTCTGTGTGTCTGTATGTGTGTGTCCATGTGTATGTGTGTGTGTGTGTCTGTGTGTCATCATATGTGTGTCTCTATGTCTGTGTATGTCAATGTGTGTGTATGTGTGTGTGTCAGAGTGTATGTGTCAGAGTGTGTGTGTGTGTGTGTGTGTGTACTGGTGAGTGTGCCTGCCACTTCTTGTGCAGGTGCAGGTGGAGGCCAGAAGAGGACATTGTGTTTCCTGGAACTAGAGTTACAGACAGTTATGAGCTGTCCTGCGTGGGTGCTGGGTACTGAACTCTGGTCCATTTCAAGGGCAGTAGGCACTCTTAACTGCTGAGAGATCTCTCCAGCATCTTATTTTGTAATGCAACTTCTCAGTTTTCCACATACTTAAATGGTACCCGCATTTTGTTAAGCTTTCAAGACAAAGTTTCTTTGTGTAACCCTAGTTAGCCTGGAACTCACCATGTAGACCATGCTGGCTTAGAACTCTGAAATCTGACTGCCTCTGCTTCATGAGTACTGAGTGTAAAGACACTTACCACCATGCGCAACAACACCTAGTCTTTAATGTTTAATTCTCAGTGTTCCCATGGGCCTGCAGGGCCTGATAGTTTTGTTTCTATCCACATATCCTCACCCTATTTACACTGGGCATATCTTTTTATTTTAAAAAATGGTTAAGTGTTGTGACCGAGATGGGTTTTTTTTCTTTTTTCTTTTTTTTTTTCAGTTTGTGGTTTATGCAGATGCTCAAAGGAGAAAAATGATGAAAAACATCCAGGGAGCTACAATTTACAAATAAACTAGCACACTGGGCATTTCTCACAGGAAAGGAGAAAGGCACTCGAAATCTTTCAAGCGCTTTTCATGTTGTAACCTGATGATGGGGGTCCCGTCCCCCAGACCCAGGTAGTGTATAGAGTCAGCTCTTACAAAGTTGTTCATTGGTCTGCACGTATGTTTTACACACACACACACACACGTCAAATAAATGTAGTCTTAAAAGTACCAGCTGAGTGACAAACAGGTAAAAGCTATTTGCATTTTATTTTACTTTGACAGGGTCTCATTATGTAGCTCTGGCTGTTCTGGGACTTACTATATAGATGAGGCTGCCCTCAAACTGAGATCCTCCTGCTTCTGTCTCCTGAGTGCTGGGATTAAAGGCATGTGCTTATTAAGTGCATGCTCAGAACTAAGTTTTCCTAGCACCAAAGTTACCCATTTCTCAGATACAGAGGAGAGACAGAAGAACAGACGAGGCTGCCACAGCTTTAAGGATAAACTTTATTCAAATCTTGGGTTGCATTGTTGTGTTTTAGGTTCAAACAGAACAGTAGCCACCTATTTCAGTAGACACACAAGGCAAAGTTTCAAAAGAAAAATAGGGCTTCTGACAGTCTTGCTAACTTGGCAACATCCTATCATGCTCATCGTGAACCTAGAAGTTTTAATTTTACTACAAACAATCTATTGAAAAGTTAGCACTTTTAGGAATATAGCAATATGTTAGCAAATTGTTTAGCAAAATAAATTATCCTGGCTGAAAAGAAACATGAGAAGGCTATAGACTGAGGAACAAGGCCAGATACCTCTAAATAGCAATACACAGGCTGTTTTTGTCAACCTGAGACCAACGCTTCCACCACACATCAATTTGTCCCCGTAAAGGACAACTTCCGGGATCACGTGCTTTACGTTTCCTCCAGCACCTTTGGTCTGGGTAGCACGTGGTTGTTAAAGGCAGCTTCTGATTGGCTGCATTTATGCATTCAGCTTGGCCGCAGTCGAATCTGCGTCACCTCCACTCTCCTCCTCTGAAGCAGAAGAAAAACCTGAGGGAGAGAAAGCAGAGTAACAACAGGGTGGGGATGAGGATGGGATGGATGCCCCCGAGAAGTAACCAGAACCATTCCAATCTTTCTCTCCCTCACTCCCTCCCTCTCTCTCTCCCTCTCTCTCTCTCTCTCTCTCTTTCTCTCTCTCTCTCTCTCTCTCTCTCTCTCTCTCTCTCTCTCTCTCTTTCTCTCTGAATCAGTGAATATACACATGTATAGGGATGTGTGGAAACAGACAACTTGGTAAGAGCCAGTTCCTCCTTATACCATGGACGGGTTAGGTGTTTGTTTGTTTGTTTGTTTGTTTGTTTTCAACGTGGCACAAGTTAGGGTCATCCATGGAGAAAGAACTCGATTGAGAACATGCCTCTATTAGACTGTTCTTTGGGTAAGTCTGTATGTCATTTTCTTGATTGATAATCCATGTGGAGAGAACCCAGCCTACTATGGGTGGTGCCCACGCTGGGTACGTGGTCCTGGCAGGTATGAAAAAGGTAGCTGGGTGTGACCATAGAGCAAGGTAGTAAGCAGCATCTCTCCATGGGTCCTGCCTCTGCTTCCTGCCTGAGTTCTTGTCCTGGATTTCCTCATTGACTGACTGTGACTGGACCGTTCTAAATAAACACTCTCCTCCCGAGTTGCTTTTAGTCGTGGCATTTATCACAGCAATTCAAAACAAACCAGAACACCTCATATGGGATCCAGGAATGGAACACAGGTCAGCAAGGCTTGGCAGCAGGTCTCTTTACCCACCGACCAATATGGCCACCCACCAAGGTACTATTTACAAAAAAGCCATGTGAAGTTCTGGGGGTGCCCAGCAAACTGAAACTTGTCATGGAGATGAACTAAATGTCCAGAAGGAAATTCCAAA